CAGGTTTTGCAATGACATCTAATTACATTTTGAGATAGATGTTCCCTTGTGCTCAGCATTTCAGGCATTGGGCTGGTTCCCACCCTTGCCACCTCAACCTTTTTCTGTGCTGCCTTAAGCAGGTCTGTATAAAGTTGGCAAAGCAGTAAGCTAAGAGAGGGCTGCAGCAGACATTTGCTGCATTTCAGTAACTGCCAGCAGTCCTATAAAGTGAAAGAGAAAACAAAGGGTAAGAATGGGTATAGGGTCTGTGTTGGACTGTAAGCACTTTTTGGTAGTGGTGAGCATGTATTAACTATATTCACTAATATGGCACTTGAACTGAAAGTTTCCATTTATCCCAGTGAAATGTTGGGATTTAAATGAGACAGCACAAATTAAGCCTATTCCTTCACTCCAGTCTAATGCAGCAAAAGCAACAAGCCATGCCTCAGATTGGGGAGCTAGGTAAGAAATCATAACATTATTATCAGTGTGTGATTTAAAACCCAAATTAATCATGCCTTTGTGTGCAGTGAAACTGTGTCTAGTGTGAGAAAAACCCACCAAAACAAGTGCATTCCCTTTAACAGGATGTACAGGTAAGACTGCTTGAGCAAGGAGGGTTTCTTTTTACTCCCCCACTGTGAACAGTTATTTTCAGGACAGGTGACCAGCTATGCAAAGAGCTAGGTTTCTTTATATTTTGTAAACATGGTCTTGTTATTACATAAGTCTCTTAGCAATTCAGTTTCTGAAAGTTAGATGATGGATCTCAAGACTCCTAACAGCCTTAGCTTAGAGCCTCTGTTATATGAGTTTCTTCTGGCTTTGATCTTCAAGATTTCTTTTTGAAATGGCTTTCCTAGAAGGCAAAGAAAGTGGAAGGGATGAAAAACACAAATTTTCTTTGATAGCATTTACTTTTCCTAGTGGGAGTGATGATGCAGGGCTCTGAAGCGAAAGCAGAGAGGGCTAGTGACAAGGAACAGTTAAGGAATGTCTCACCTTCTGCCCAAGATTATGGTGCTTGTTGAGGGCTTTTTTGCTGTTGTTGAGACAACAAGCTTGAATTCTGGTGAATTGTGGTTTAGGTGTCAGATGCTGGATTTATGCTGTTGAAAGCGTTGTTATACAATTAAGTGGATAAATCTATTTTAATTGTTTTCACTAAAAAATGTATCAAATCATAAATACTATAGGTTGCAAACAACATGAGACAAAGCAAACAGTACAGCAAAGATACACACCCACATTTATACTGTAAATCAAATATACACTGCTCTAGAGTAGAAATCCATTATTTTTAGGAAAGTATTTCCAAAGAGATGTTGCATTACTGAAGCTATTATAGGCTAATAGGAGAAGTATTTGAATGGTTCAGCAATAAGATCTTCTGTACTTGTGTCATGACAGCATATTTCTGAACTGTTACTGAGCCAATGTCATCCTTAATTCCCATGATGAGTGGCACAGTGAGTGAGAGCAAATATCCTCAGATTTAGCTGGTCTTTTATTCTCAAACTGATGTATATTTCCACAAAAGATTAATTGAATGGTTTCTAAATAATCAAACTTCAGGCTTACAAAGCTGCTTGCATGCTGCTCAGTTCAGCTATTTTGCTCAGTATTTGTGGTGTGCAAGGAACTGACTGTGCCTATTGTTCTTCTTCCCAGATTAAATCTCTGCTGGCTTTGGCAGCCTCTGTTGAAGTCACTGTGCTCTGAAAATGCTCACAACTTTATTATGTTGATGTTAAAAGTGTTAGAATTTTCACAGCCCTACCCACCCAATATTGCAAACAGTAGCAAAACCTTTTCATTTTGTACAAACACTAGTGCAACTTGTAGACCATTCCATCCTCCAAATGTACATCTGTTTGAGCAAAGGGTTACCAGAAGCAAATAACAAAGATATCAAGACCATTGCTCAATAACCACAGCCATTATTTTGCAATATTTATTGCACTCTGCAGGGGTTTTCCTAGGATCAAAACTTGGCTGGTATTAGTAACAGTATTTTCAGTTGTGTCACATGGATTGTTTTGTGTTATTTAAGCTGAATGCTGTAATTTGCCATTTCAGAATTGCTAGTTATAGATTTTGCAGCAGTGCATTTGCATGCTGTAGCCTATAGCAAAATGGCACATCATTTGAATACCACCTTTACCCATCATGAATGGTATATATCACTACCCAGGAAATGTGTCTGGACATCTTTTCCTATTTAACCTGGTTAAGTTCACATTATGCAACCAAGTGCATTATTTTCAAAGCATATTCTTGAGTATTTAGGTGCAAACGGATCCAAGAGAGCCATATAGGTAGCTGTCACTTAAACCAGACTTGTAGAAATAATGCATGGGGATTTTAAGATGACCTTCATGTGTTTCACTAAAACTCAGCCTCCACAGTGCTCTGAGACACAAGTACAATCAGGTGCTTTTACTTGTATAGCTAAAATACATGATTTTTTTTTTCAATAGATTTGTGTGTCTTTCCAGAAAGAATTATTCTTCTTAAGCAGCAGGTAAGGAAAAGATTATGGGTAAAATATTTGGAGAGGTATGGGAAAGGACATTTAATATATTTAATCTTATTATACATTTTTCTACATTAAAGTCAACAGGCTGCAAATATATTCTGCTACAAAGCTTTGTGTAAGAAATATCTCTTATAAGAAAATACATCTCATTAAACATTTCCTGTAAATAAATTATCCCAAATAACTATGCTTTGCAAGAGGAAAATGGGGGATAGGCCAATGATAAGAAGAGATTGAGAATAGCTGAGACCCCATTTCTGCAATGCCCCTGCTCATGCTGAGTATCATTTTCTTTTATATGTAGTGACAATGAGAACACTAGAGCTCCTCTGCAGAGTATGTGCTGTGCCAGTGTAAATAAAACTTGAAAAATTGGTTCCTGAATTTTTTAGCAACTTGAAATTATGCTATTTTTTAGCCTTATTCCTGTTCGAGATACATTTTTGAAACTCTGAAATAAGTAGAGTTGCAATGACAGGACTCTAAGATAAAACTCTGAGACAATTAATAAACAGAAGACCCTGTCTCTGAGCAGTCCCTCTAGGTTGCCAGTGTAAATAAAACTTGAAAAATTGGTTCCTGAATTTTTTAGCAACTTGAAATTATGCTATTTTTTAGCCTTATTCCTGTTCGAGATACATTTTTGAAACTCTGAAATAAGTAGAGTTGCAATGACAGGACTCTAAGATAAAACTCTGAGACAATTAATAAACAGAAGACCCTGTCTCTGAGCAGTCCCTCTAGGTCTATAAAACTTCAGTAGTAAGAAGTGTGTGCAATACTCTTCTTATTTAGACTCTTATGAAAGTTAATGTAGTTGAGGTCTGTGTTCCAATTAGAAAAGCTGAGTCAAGTAGTGTAGCTAAGCTATAGCTTTAAAACATCCCACTGGTGGAAAAAGGCATCAGGTAAGTGTGACATGGTCTTCAAAGTTAAAACACATACTGGTCTACCCACATTGTTCTGAACTGAATAAACATAAAAGTCCCTTGTATTACAAAATATGAAAATGGGTAATTATAAATGGGTAGTTACAACGTAACCGTAGGTCAATTATAGAATCAGACTTCTTTAAAGAAATATCAGTCTCTTTACCAATGTCTATACAAAGAAATACTTGCAAATAAGTAAAATTAAAAAGGTTTGAAAAGGCCTGGGACACAAGTCAAGGAACAGAGGCTGTCTATTTTTTAACCAGTACAAAAATAATGTGGAGTTGACAGCTGTTTCTACAGTCTATGTACTTCCATCATTCCTGGCAGAACACCCCAGAATAAGAGGACATCAAGTTCAGTCTGAATGCATGCTGGAGGCTGGTATGGTGTGACATTGCATGTTTAACAAGTCTTTTGTGGTCATACCATCTTCTTATATCCTTTTCTGCAGGAGAGATGTTCACAAGACCCAACTCCTTTTTCTTTGCTGTCTCTAGGAATAAATCCATTCTGTTTCTGCAGAGTGCCATTGGTAGCCTGTTGCTACTAATAAAATGTAAAAACTTGAGTGGCAGTATGCTCTGAACACCTCAATGAATGTCTCTATCATCTGTTCTAACGGCAACAGAGAAACAACTTCATAGCTCTTCATGTTAGGCACTTCAACACTCTGCTACTTCTTTTGGAAATGTCTATAACACAAGAATTCTTAGGCAAGGAAAGTATAATTAGGACTAATGAGGAACTGCATGTATATAATTCTGGATTCAGCATGCACACATTTGCTTCATCTGTTCAACCCAACGTATACTAGCAGTAAAATGAGGCAAATACAAGCGATTAAGTGCCATACAATGACATTGAACTACATAAAGCATTTCAATTTACCCATGTACAGGAAACAAAACCCTGTGTTTAAATGCCTCCTATTAGAGAAAATGCCGCTTTCTTGAAATTTTGAGATGGCAAGTTTTCACCTCTTTCATGAGGGCCTGCAAAACATAGCACTCTTGTCCTGCAGGAGTGCTTTCTTTACTGAAGTGTCAGCCCTGAGTGGCAAGGGCATGTGGACATTCACAGTAACTCTTTATCCATTTCTTACACCTGCAATGAGGCCAATAACGTGCTGACAGATGAGCCTTCCTGGTATGCACTGCTTCCTTAGGAGTACAATGTATACAATTTATTTAGCAGTTATTACCACACTGGAAACCCACTGTAGCCCTAAACTGAACCCCTGAAACATCACGGGACAATACAGCAAGGTAAGTGACATTCATTTCTGCTGTGTTTGTTTGCATACTAGCATTTCCCACGAACTGTAGAAGTTATTTACAGAAGAACTCGACAGTAGGTGAACTCCAGCTACATTTGTGTTTACCAACAGCTGAAAAAGAAATGCATTTGGTGTGACTTCTACTCCTACTCTAATTGTTACTTTAGCCATTCTGCTTTCATTTGTAGTCCTCTTTTTCCACCATGCCATAATGCATTAAACACATAAAGCCACAGTCACTTAATAGTATCTTCCCAATCCTCATTCAGATTTTCTGGCACACATGAAGTCTTGACTTAGAAGAGGAGGTTGCATCTTTCCATACTTTACAAGACAGACCCTTGGCACAGTCACATCGTTGGAAAATCTCCAGTCCATGAGACCCTTTCTTGCGCTGTTTGGTGCACACCTCCCCCTGATGCAACACAGGCTTGCAAATTTTGGTCCAGAAATGGCGAGCACAGCAGTGTCCCTCAATACAGTCTGATGACCGTAGACAGGGATCACCTTCGTGTCCTAAAAAGAGCAACCAAATGATTTTATCTCATGGGAAAATGTACAGATTCAGTGCAGACTGATGCAAATGAAACTCAGAAAAAGTAGAGGTGATATTTCTGTCTGTGGCTATTTGAAGGATGTAAACACAAGAGAATATATTAATTAGGAAGGTTCAAGGGGGTAAATAATGAGATCTGTCATAAGACTTAGCAACTAGAAATTCAGCTACAGGTAGTATGTAGAATTACAAGTGTTCAATTATGTGGCTGTTAAAGGAGGAAGATATGTGCAGTCTTGCACAACTGATGAAAAGGATTGTCAGTCCACATCTAATTCAAAGAAAGCAGATGCTACTTCAATCACAGGAGCTGTTGTTGACATTACATCACTTTTTGAGTCATGCTGTGAATTCTCACAACAGGCATTAATTCCCTGTGAAATTACTGCATATTTCTGGTTTAGATTGCTGTATCTTAACAGAAATAACATGATTCATGACATAAAGGAGCAATGCAACATAGTCCAAATGTTACCTTTTATGTGTGACAACTTTGAGCGTGGCCTCCCTAGGTTGTGCCATCCCAAATCCTTGCTAGGATAATGACCATTCTTCTTGTTGCGTGGCCCTTCTAGAGCAGGGATGTGAGGTGTAAGGATGCTTTCAGTAACTGGTATGCAAATACCTGCAAGGAAAAGACACTCCCTCAAAGATTTGAAGAAGAGGAAAAGCAACTCAGAGACACAATGAGCAGGATCAGGACCATGAAAGCACTGGGGCTTGGCCTCAGTGATGCTCAGCTCTACTCACACATTTGTCTCTGATCCCTGGCACTTAACTTTGCCACAGCTCTGCTTCACTCACCGTCAGTTAGTCTCAGTCTCACCCTTGCTCTGGCTTTATGGTCTGAGCATCTGGAGACTGCCTTGTACACATATTTTCCCAGTCTCCAGAGAGTATGGGAATGCAAACACTATGGTAATAACCCCCCAAGGAGAGTAGATCAAGGATTCATTAAGTCTTCTTTGCTTCCTTAAAACATGGTTCTATGCGGTCTTCCAGTGAATCAAACCACATTGAATGTAGAGTTGTGATTTAGACAGCAGCAGCAGCATTTTTGGGTTTCCTCAACCCAAAATGTGAAAAAGTATGGTAGTACACAAGTCCCAAACATAGAAATAGTATTAAAGAAAATGGAGTGGCATGAAGTAGAAAATTAAGTTTTCTTGGTTTAGAAAAAGAAGTGCCACCACCCCCAAAAATTGCTGTTGCTGGGAACACTCAGAGAAATAGATGCTATCAAAATGCTGCTTTTCTGGAGGAAAACCAAGAAACGACTGATGTACCATTGTTGCAGCGGTTCCCAGGGCAGCACATGCCATCTCTGTGGCATCGTTTCTTCTTCCTCCGGCACATCATGCATGCAGATGTTGATTGATGAGGACTGTGACAGTATCGCCCAACTTCGCATTCCTTATCATTGGTACAAGGATAGGCCTGGTGGGTAAGAGAAAGGTTTGCAGTGAGTATTCCTTTGCACAAAGAATGTATGCAGTTCATTTAAAAAAACCCAAACAAACAAGCAAACAAGAAAACAAACTACTACTGAAACACCCAAACAAAGAAGCCGATAGTTGAGACAACAATTCACTGGGGCTAGGAGATGCAGCTAGGGATGCTTCATTGCAGCCAGACAGCAGTCTTTAAGCTCACACTACTGCTGGTCATCAGCTTAGAGAATAAGGGAGTTAGAACCAGCTCTGCTCATGGTTTCATCTTTCCTTGCCTCAAATATATGCTGGCACAAGAGATCTCCTGGTTTTGTGGATTCAGCCCTCCGATTCATAAACAAGAGCTTAAAACTCCACAATGAATAAGCAACAGAGTCACAGAAGTCAGTGAAAATACCAAAACACACCCTCCAATAGGTAACATTTTGTTTTAACTCCAGGGAGGCATTTTTCCCTTGACAGCTGTCAAGCACACTGATTGATAAAAAGTTCACTGTTGTCACAATGGTTATCTGCATCACATTGATACAAATGTCTTTGCAACAGCACCACTCCCTACTGGCCCACACCAGTGGGACTCCTTGGAAGATAACAAACATCACTGATCAGCATTTCACTTTGATAACCTTCACATCACTTACGGTCTTAATATACTCCTTAAACTTTGCCACCTGCTAAACAACATCCTACAGTATGCAGCATGGAATATATTATAGAGCACAAAATGTCTCACACATATAATTCCCTGCAAGCAGATACACCTGTATACAATTCATCAAAACCAGCATTAACTTACAGGAAAACAGACTTTATAAAATAAAAAAAGGATGTGAAAGCACTGCATTTTTTCTGTAAAGAGAGAGAAGGAAAAGTTTGTTCTTACAAAAGGAAAAGACATGATGCTTGAAGGAAACATAACAACACACTGTCACATTCCATGGTCCTTTCTGCTGACTCCCACACAGCTACAACTATGCTGCCTGAACCGAATTTGACTGCCTATTTAATTAATCATAATTGTTTCTCCCATTCCTCAAAATTGCACTTGAGGAATTTGTTTATATAAAAAGATGACAGTAAATTTTGGGCACTTTCTGGAAAACTGTGTTTATACTTCTTCAACTAATTTTCTCCAGTATTTTAAATAAATCAAACTATTGCTTTTACTGTTTTCAAAATGATTCTTCCAATTAATTATTCACTCCAAACAAAAAGCTCAACTAATTTTCAGCATAGAATGATTTCTTTTCTAATAACAATGTATTCAATCAAAGCTTGATTATATTGTTCTCAGAAAAGAAAAACTGGGAGGCTCTTGAGAATTTGCTTTAAAAACAGGTTTTTAAGATGGAGAAACTGTTGTTTCTCTGTCTTTGTGCCATTCTGTTGAGTACCACAGAAGAAACAAGAGGTGTCACAAGAAAACTAAACAAGTTTCTCTAGTGTCAGTTGTGTGAGGGGAAACCATGCCATTTTCCATGTGACTTCATGGTTGTTTTCTTTGGCAAAATGTACTTTAAAATACCAAAAGTGCTGTCTGAATATTTCCCAAGTTACCCTATCACTTCTGCCCTCTGAATACGTGAATTTTAGAACTATTCCATAGCGCAGATGTTTGGAATAATCTGAAGTATATGTAAAACTTTCCCCATTAAGAACAAGCATTTCCTCTCAAACTCATCCTCAAGAGGATGTACATCAAAGGTGGCTAGATCTTGTAAACTAGGAGTATCAGTAAGAGACAAATGCAAGCACTCACCTGTTTGGTATTCTTAAGGCAAAAGCAGATTCCACCTATTCTAGCAAAGCAGAACTAAAGCACTCTCCCCTCATTCTCATCACTCCTTTCCCTCATTTTTCCAGAAAGAAATAATTAACACTGGTTTACAATTTATGATCCAATTACCATAAAAGTAAGGCTTCCCTGACTTAAATGATACCTTACTAACCTAAGGATCTTACAATGCAAACGCACTGATTTTTCATATAGACCTGTGCATGGCTATACTGAGTTAGGGAAATACTAACTCTGCTAGTTGGGGAAAATGCAAATAAAAAACAGATGGTCTAGCTAAAACCTGGAGATGAAGGCATTTTAGACCCTTGTCTGTCATCAAGACCTTCATAACTGCATCTTTTTTCCAATATGGGCATGTGGTATACACCTGCAACTTGTCAGCAAGAAGCCTACTTGCAGTTTTATTTTGGTTCCTCAAATAGCTTTTTTTTAAAAAGAGCTCCTTGATCCTGAACGGTGCTAATAAATGCTCTCGCATACCATATCTAGCAATTGTTTTACTTTAGGCTTTTAAGCTGCGTGACATGTAAAAGATATTTTAAGATATGCATCTAATTGTCAGCTCTAAGCTCTGTCTTTAAGAATGGTGAAAGTAACAGAAGACAACTTTGACATTAAAAATTGCTAAGGAAAGCAACACAATCCAGTCTTTGTTCCCAATATAGATCCCATTCCTAAATAAAGATGATAGTTTTTAAATTAAAAAATAAGACAGAACACTGACCTACCTGAGGCGAATTACAGCAGCACACCAAAAAATAATTTTGTGCTACATGTAGCTCAGACAACAACTAACAAGTCCATTCAAACCCCCGAAAGAACAGCTGCCAGTCAGCTAAATCAAAAACCCTCTTGGAAACGCCTGATGCCCTCAATTGCCTTGATCTTCCAAAACCACCATCCATTTGATAGACTAGCTATCAATCACAGGGAGCTTGAAACAAAAATGCCTTCGTAGCCTTGTGTCTGCTCCCTAGTCACCAGACATTCATTGGAACAAGTCCTGCTCCCAGCAAAGTAATTTCTATCATTGTGCAGCATTCAGTATCAAAACACAAAAATAAACCAAAATAATATACTGGTACATAGTCTTAGCTAAAGGGAGAGAAAATGAGTCCATAATTATCCCATTGCTGGCAGTTGATGAGCCAATCTAGGTATAATTATTTTTTTATTATTATTTTCTTAAATATGGAATAAGGAAAACATACTTGTAAAAATGTACGTGCCAACGATTGTCTGAGTCAAGATTTTCGAAATCTCCTACACCACAGTGCCTGGAACACAGTCTTTATGCTTAAAGAATAGCAGGGAACATTTCCTATATACAACACAAAGACAGAGATCAGTCCCAGATGGAGAGGGAAAAAGCAAGCTGTAAACCAGCCCTACTTCCCCAGCAACGATAACTAATTCTATAAGGCACATCATCCCTTCACATTCTTCAGCTATACATATCATTTTCTGGTTGTAAATCTCTATCCACTAAACACAGCTTTGATACCATGGGAAACCAGATGAAACCAAAATAAAATATGTAGCACACCCTGAAGCTGCATTTAAACAATTGTATTTATTTTTTTATCCCAGATTACAGGCAATCAAGTTACCCATAGCATGACATAAACTACATTTGCCTGTGATAATGAGTCACATTTTCAGAATATGTTGTCTGATTAAGAGCATTGTTTACTGAGATATTTTCTTCTCAGTCATTCCAATTATTTTGTATTCTTATATAAAGGATACTGTTGAATGCACGTACAAAAATGTACAGCAAAGACGTACTGGCTTTTTTGCAATGCTGGAGGATTCAGACTAGATATTTAAGTGGGTGCTGCTCATGCTGTGCCAAGATGTCACCTGTATCAGTCCACCAAGACTAACCTTTGCCAGTCAGGTCATGGCAGCACAGAATTGTTAAACTTTTCTTCTGGAGGGAGAACATGAAGCTCCCTTCCTGTCCTTCTTGAATTTATATTCAAAATTCCAAGAGCGCATGATAGAACTACTCAAGGAAAACTACGCAGATGATAGAGGAGAAAAGTTGCAGGTTTTTATAGTTGAACAAGTCCTTCCAGGCTTCTGAAGATCTTCCTTTTCTTACTGACTTCACAGGGGCACTAAGAAAGGAACTGACTGACTAGATTTTGTGACTAAGTAGCTAATGTCAATCCCATGATTTGAGAAGCAAGCAGCAGTGAAGTTTATGTCACCTTTGTCTTCCCCTTTTTACAGAGGAGACCTCACTTAGCACCTTTTCTCAGTGCAATGAGGTTTTCTTGATATTTTTGCTGAAGTCATTTGTAATCACATATATTTTATATGAACCACAGAGTTTCACTACAAGCTGTAACAATAAGAAGTGGAGGGACTGTTGTGCTAAGGAGTCAAACAGTTTGAGTCTCTCTGTTTGGCACTATAAAACGCAATGGAGAAGTTCTCCAGGGAGTAAGCAAGACACACAATGTAATGTGCTAAAAGGTGAGGAGGCTGATGACAGACATACTCTACTGAGCTCTGGGAGATAAGGTCTTGAATTGCAGCAAATATTTGAAGACAATGTTCCTGGCCAGTGTCTTAGTCACCAGGCTCCCATTTGTTCATCTGATGATGTCTCATTTGGTTTTATGCTGAAGGTACTCCATGTTGTACTAGGTAACTATGTCAGTGAAAGGCAGGAAGAACCACTGGCATTTCTACCTAGGTTGTGTCATCACTTACCTAGCACAAACAGTCCTAGATACTGCTGGTTTCAGACCCACCTTCAACACTGAGAGGAGCTATGCCTAAATAAGTGTTTTGGTGGAACAGATATCAGTAGTGATTCCCCAGAAGCAGTTAACTTTATTTACTTTTAAACACATCATAAAGTCCAAGTGCAGAGTCAGTCCTGGCAGGATATCATGGCTACTACCACTTCCAGCAGAAGAAACAGCATAGAAGTTGTTCATTACTCTTTCACTGTGGATGCCGAGCAGCACTCAGTAAGAAAGCTGAAGTCTCATATACCACATAAATGACAGTATCACTGTGCTTACTGTATTGGACACCCACCAGCTTCAGTCCATAAAATAATCCCATGATGATACTGGTGACTGAGTTGAAGAACAGGGGAAAAGCCACAGCAAGTTCTACAGCCAGAAAGTAAGAGCTCTGTAGAGCTACCAGGTCAATCCTTTAGCATT